CATTTGATGTTGTTATAATTTGTGGAGAGGAAGGGAAAAAACAAATCATTTAAATAGTGATACAGGTGGATCCATTACAACAATGAGATGTACAACTCATTCTGTCGAAAACGAACTTTACAACTTTGGTAGGGGGTGGAGGAGGGTTGGGGGGGGAGGATGGGATAGGAAGGGGAAACAAAGGAGGAGGCTACAATGCTTTATAAGAAATGTACTCATTATCTTGCCCATGTAATTGTAACCCCTCTGTACAGTATTTTCACAATAAAAAAATCAACTCAAAATGGATCAAAGACATTAATGCAAAACTTGGATCTTTGAAACTACCCTGGGAAAATATTGGGAAACACTTTAAGATACAAGCATAGACAGGGCTTTCTGAAAAAGTCTTCAAATAGCTTAGGAAATAAAAGCAAAAATTGACAAATGAGATTGCATCAAATTAAAAACCTCCACACAAAGAAAGAAACATGGACAGAATGAAGAGACAGCTGACACAATGGGGAGAATCACTCCCAGCTTTTCATCTGAGGAACAATTATATATGTATGTGTGTATAAAGAATTCAAGGAAAATATATAAAGAATTAAAAAATTAAACCCCCAAATAACAATCCAATTAATAAATGGGTGAATGAACTGAACAAGGACCTTTTCAAAGAAGGAACAAATAGCCATTAGTTACATTTAAAAATTTTAAATAACCTAAGCCCTACAGGAAATGTAGAACAAAACCACTAAAATCCCACCTAACCCCAATCAGAATGGCTATTGCCAAGAAAATGATTAACAAATGCTGACGAGGACACATTTAAAATATGGCATTTTACTCACTGATAGTAGGAATAAGTAAACAGTGCAGCCACTGTGGGATTCTTCAAAAAATTACCAATAGAATTGGCAGCTGATCTAGCCATACCATTCCTGGGTATATGCCCAAAGAAGTCAAAGTCCATATACTCTATAGATATTTGCAAACCCATGTTTATCATGGCACTATTCACAATTGTCAAATTATATGGAATTAGCTCATACTCCCATTAATGGATGAATGAGCATACACAAAATGGAGGTTTATTCACCCATAAGCGGAACAGGCAGGCATGGGAATATAATGGTGAGAGTGAATTTCTTCAAAGTACTCTAAACACAGCAATGGAATTATTGCAAGGGACCCTCCATATTATTAAGGTATCAATGTTTTGTGGGAAAAAAAGAAGAATGAAATTACATCTTTTGCTGCAAATTAGATGAAAATGGAGATCATCATGTTAAGCGAAATAAGCAATACTCATATGTCTCCTTTGTGGAAGCTAGGGGGAAACAAAGCCAAACACACAATGTCATGAAAGTAGAAGAAAGGCCTGCTAAGAAGGTGGAAGGGAAAGAGTAGAAGGTGAGACAAAGGGAAAGATAATAAATAGGGATAATAGATAGCAATAGATTGTGTTAAGATAATCAACGCACATTATATGTGTGTATGGAAATGTCCGGATGAAATTCTTTACCGTATACAATTGACTATATGCCAATATATGACGGACTACTGGATGAGCTCAACCCTAATCTCAAGAAGGAAGTTGAATCTAGTTAAACGTAGCAGAGTTCTCCAATCGAATACAACTCATATAATCATTAAACAACCAAAAATCAAAGCACATTTTATATGTGTTTGAAAATGACAATTAAAATGCTTATTTTGTGCACTTAATATACACTAGAAAAAACATTAAAATGAATTGCCACCTACACCAAGAGGCCCTAATTGACAATTCACAGAACGTTTCAGCAGTCATAGAATTCATCTTTTCAGCGACATATGGAACACTCTCTAAGATGAGTTAGACCACAGAACAAGTCTTACCTAATTAAAAAAAAACACTGAGATCAAATAAAGTATTTTTCCTGACTACAAAAGAATAAAAATCAACAGTAGTATGAACTTTGGAAACTATGGTAAACATGGAAACTAACATGCTTCTAGGAAACCAATACATTAGGGAAAGAAATCTTAATTTTTCTTGAGATTCGTGAAATGAAAATACAACTTATCAAAACTTGTGCAGTACCACAAAAATAGATTTAAGAGGAAAGTCTGTAGCAATAAGCACCCACATCAAAAAAGAAGGAAGATTTCAAATGAGTATCTTAATACTGTACATCATGGAGTTAGAAAAACAAGAACAAAATGAACATAAAATTAATAGAAAGGAAGAAAATATTCAGAGCAAGCATAAATAAAATAGAAATCTTTAAAAGCTGGGGCTGGGAAGGTGGCTCAGTGGTAAAGCGCTTGCCTTGCATGCCTGAGGCCCTGGTTCGATTCCTCAGCACCACATAAGAAAAAAGAAAAAAGCCGGTAGTGGCGCTGTGGCTCTAGTGGTAGAGCGCTAGCCTTGAGCTGAAGAGCTGAGGGACAGTGCTCAGGCCCAGAGTTCAGGCCCCACGACCAGACCCAAAAAAATATATATATAAAAGCATTACAAATGGGTGGGATGGGAGGAGAAAACTGGGAGAGAATGAGGGAAGGGGTGACATTGTCCAAAAAGAAATCTGTACATCATCTTTATAATAACAATAAAAAATGAAAGCATTGCAGATGGGTAAAATAAAGAATTAGTTTTTTGAAAAGATAATATTTATAATCCTTTGTCTGGACTAAGAAGAAAAGACAGAGGCTCAAAAACAGAGACAAAAATGGAGACATCAAAATTGAAACCACAGAAACAACAACAGACTATATATATATATATATATATATATATATATATAAACAAAGGACTTTTTTTAATCTTTAAAAAGACTTTTAGCTAGGCATTTGTGTCTCATACTGGTCATTCTGACTTCTCTGGAGGTTGAACTCTGAGCATCCCAATTCGAGGCCAAACTGGGCAGAAAAATCTAAGAGACTCTTGTCTCCAAATAACCAGCAAAAAATGCTGAAAGTAGAGATGTGGCTCTAATGGTAGCGCACCAGCCTTGACCATAAAAGCCAAGTGAGACTCAAGGACCTGAGTTAAGCCCTAATACCAGTACCAAAACAAGAAGAGACAGATACATTCCCAGACATAACAAACAAACCTATTGAAACCCAATCATGAAGAAATAGAAAACCTAACAGAGCAATAATGAGTAATGTAATCAAATCAATAATAAAAATCTCTCATCAAATAACAGTGCAGGACTTGTTGTTGGTTTCACTGCTGAGCCATATCAAGCTTGGGAAGAACAAATTGGTAACTCTTCTCAAACTACTAAAAATTTGAAAAGGAGGAAGTATCATCCAAACTCATTTTACAAGACAAGTATTACCTTCTAAGTATACACAATTATTATGTGTCCATCTTATTTTTTCAATTTGAACATTTTTTTCAGAGTTAATATGGCATCTTTATGACTACCTCCAGAGTGACTACAATTTATTTCCAAAGCAGGCATTTTAGTCTTTCATTTTCTCTCCCAGACCTGGCTCCACAGACAGATGATTCATTCCATGTCACTTTTCCTATGACCTTCCTGAAAAACCAGAAATACTTCTTCTTTATTTCTACATCTACTTCAAATACTGAAAGGCTGAACCGGATTAATTGGAACCAAAGAATAGGGCAAAGATTGGCAAATGAGCATGATATGATTGTTTCTGGTCTAGTGCTTCTTCTTGACTTACTTAATCCATCATGTCCTTAAAGGCCTGATGCCCATACATAGCAACCATACCACAAGGGATGGACAACCAGTGGGGACAAACTCAGGTCACAACTGTCAAACAGTAGGCATGAAAAATATGTTAAGCCGGAGATTTTCATTACAAATCCTGGAATGAAGGCAGAGCAGTTTTCCAAAAGTCCATTTCCTTAAGGTAGGGCCTATTTTCTGTATAAAACTCCATGAAGCCATGGAGTCTGCACCAGCAAAGAGAGTCCAGAGAGCTCCTTCTTCCTTCTGAGGTAAGAGACCACACTGAGAACTGAATATTCACCGTATGCTGTTTTTACTTAATTGTGTCTTCTTGAGCATCTAAGGATATATTTTTTTTTTATATTCGACATGGCTGGGGTTTTTTACTTCCCTCTCAGATTATGGGAGTAAGGATCAGAAATATAGGTTGGTATCTGTAAAGATTGAGAGTAAGTTCAGAGAAAGCTCTGGATAAGGCACTAGGCTCAAGATTCAGCCGCTTCTGAGAATACAAGTGAGACGACATGGCCTTTTCCCACCTGCTTCTGGGTCTTCATATTTAAAGTGTCCCTCTCGCTTTGTTGAGAATTCTCAGTACCAAAGGTGCTTCATGATTGATTTTTTTTGATGTTCAAATGTTAAATGACTACTTGCTTCACAAGCCTAGGATCCACCAGAAAAGGTAATCTATGGGAGTAGTTGCCTAATATACAGTGTGGAAAATAGTGAGAGAAGAGAATGCAGGAAAGTTGCTGGAGCACAGATGAAGAGTGACGTTGAGTCTGGCAGGGGCACTGAGGAGAGCATGCGGAGGCAGCAGAAATACTGTAGAAAGCACATGACAGGCAACACGAGCACAGAAACTCAGAGGTGGATCCTATGGGCTCATATAGAGATTTATTTCCCGTTTTCCTAAAGGACTCTATGGGATGGACATGATTGGGTAGAGACTCTAGACCCTTTGCCCTCTCATCTTTTGAATTATTATAAACTTGGGGCCTCACAGCAATCCTCTGAGCCTGCTGTTGTGATGAATTGCTTGTGTTGAGATCTTATGTTGTGTACAGGTTGTCTCAGATGCATTCCGTAGAAAGGAAGCAGAGAGAGAAGTGCTCTACCCACATGGAGCTCCACACATCACCTTTATCTTTTACTTTAAGATCGTGTGGGAATCAGGAAAGCATCCTAGGTTCTGAATTCAGAGAAACAGAAAGAATGAAGGGATATGCAATGAGAGAGATGTATGACTAAACAAACCATGTTACTCTGTCCTCTAAACCACTAACTCAGCTTTCTGTCCCTAGGTTCAGCATCCTCTGAAGCATGAGTTCCTACCAGCAGAAGCAGCCCCTTGTTCCACCCCCTCAGCCTCAAGACCAGCAGAGGAAACAGCCCTCCCAGCCTCTACCGAAAGTACCCTTTGTTCCCATCACCACGGAACCATGCCACCCAAATGTTCCACAACCTGGGAACACCAAACTTCCTGAGCCAGGCTGTAGCAAGGTCCCTGAGAAGGGATACACCATAGTCCCTGAGCCAGGCAGCACTGTGGTCCCTGGACCATGCAACACCAGTGTCCCTGATCCTGGCTGTGCCACAGTCCCAGGGCCATGCAATGCCAGCATCCTGGAGCCTGGCTATGCCACAGTTACTGGGCCATGCAATACCAGTGCCCCTGTGGCAGGCTGCACCACAGTCCCAGAGCCAGGCTATTCAAAGGTTCCTGGGCCTGGTTATGCCACAGTTACTGGGCCATGCAATACCAGTGCCCCTGTGGCAGGCTGCACAGTCCTTGAATCCGGCTATGCAAAGGTTCCTGAGCCAGGCTACACCATGGTACCAGAGCCAAGCCAGTCCAAGGTTCCTCAGTCTTGCCCCTCAGTAGTCACTCCAAGCCCAGCTCAGCCAAAGACCAAGCAGAAGTAATGCTGTCTACAGCCAGACACTTGAGGAGGTGACCACCAGCGGATGAACACACTCTTCCCATGGCCTTCTACATCCTAATTATCTGGACACTTTATAGTCAATACATTACCACTTTGAATCATAGTTTCTATTTTTATTCTGAAGAATCTGTCCTTTCAAATCTTCCCTTACACATGCTCTATAAAGTCTACAAGCCTCTTAGTTAAGCAGAATATTGGTTGTTTTGCTGTCCTTCAGATCATCCTGTATGGGAAAAATGAGTACTAATCTCTTTGTTCCATTAAACTACTTTTAACTCCACTTCTGGTTCATGTTGTTTTATTGGTTGAATTCTCCTTTATCCTTGACCTGCCATTGTGAAAGCAAGACCCATAGCTATAAGATTTATTTATTCCTGTCACTCTTTGTGAGGTCATTCGAATGTACTTAGAACACATTGCTGGGATAGCAATAAGGCATCATCTCATGGTATCCCAAGCCTGTCTTTTGGGGCAATCACAGCTAGAACAAAGGGTCTCCTTCCTCTTGCTGGCTGCCTGCCCCAAGCTGCCTTTGATACTCAGTATCCTTCCTGCAAGGCCTATCTTCATTTCAGGAAAACATTATTCCTATGTACTTAAGCTTCAGAATCTGTGGGAGAGGCTTCTCTCATTTTATTGTTGGCCTACCCTGACTGACACATACAGATCCACCGGCAATCATAGAAACACACCATCACACATCACACACCTACACAAATTCCACCCTCATTAGCTCAGGCAGTGTTAACTTTGCTGGGCAGTCTATATAGTTAGGGATTCCTGAAGCTGGAGCAACTGGTGGGCAGAGTGGAGGATGCATCCTGCCTCCCCTTGGCTAGATTTAGTCTTCTCTAGGAGTTGTAACACTCAGACACTTCTATATCATATGTCTATGGATCATTCTCTCTCTTTCTCTATTTTCCCTCTCTCTTCCTCTTTCTCTCCCTCTTATACACATGCACATATCACTCTCCTTCTCCCTCATTGCCCAAGAAATAGTTTCATGAAATCATTTCAAATAGGAGGTGAGTTTTGAGTTTTTAGCAATTACTAGGAGAACACAAACCAGATGAGGTATATAATCATCTACAAAGCTGAACAAATTATCAAGCTATGAAATCTCAGGAATTAAAGACTTCAAAAGTACCTATAACCACCATTCTACTTTCTAAATGAATCAAATATAGAAATAAGCACTCCATTGGGGTATTATTAGCCTTGGAGTATTATTAGCCATAAAGTATTATTTAGCCATAAAGAGGAGTGAAATTGGACTTGGAGTGTGGCTTAGTGGGAGAGTGCTTGCCTAGCATACATGAAGCCCTGGGTTCAATTCCTCAGTACCACATAAATAGAAAAAGCCAGAAGTGGCATTGCAGCTCAGTGGTAGAGTGTTAGCCTTGAGCAAAAGAAGTTCGGGGACAGTGCTCAGGCCCTGAGTTCGAGCCCCAGGACTGGCAAAATAAAAAGAAGAGTGAAATTATGTCATTTGCAAGAAAAAAAAGTGAAACATGAATTCACCATACTAAGCACAGTAAGCCAGACCAAAAAAAAAAAAAGGAGACAAATATTACATGTTCCTGTCATACACAGACTCTATTTCTTTAAAATGAGTGACAGACAGGAATGTAAAACAGATTCTATCTGGGTATAGGTACCATCAAGAGAAGAGGGGGAAAAGGAAGGGATAGATATGATCAAAGTGCTTTATATATATATGTGTGCAAATAAAATAATGAGACTTGTTGAAATTGTTTTAAAGAGAAAATGAGGAGTAAGGAGGAGTGATGGGGTGAATTTGATCAAGGTTTATTGTATGCATGTATAAAAATATCACAGTGAAACCCCTTTGTACAGCTAATGTAGGCCAGGGACATATTTTAAAAAGTTAAGGTAACCCATAAATTATATCTCTGCATCACTTCTAGTGCCCATTCTTTACTACTCCTATAATCTGGTCTTCTTGATTTCAGGAGCGACAGGTTCACGAGTCTGTGTTTAGTGGTTCTGGGATATTGGAGATCTGACCCCAGACACAGAGACTGCTGTGCTAGTCAGCAAGGGACACACTTTATCCCTTAGTGAACTGCACAGTCAAAACATGAAAGAGGTATAAGGCAGTGACAGAATCTGGGTGATGCACAAGAACTTCAGATGGGTTTGGCAAGAGCTCTATGATATTTAGAAACCATCAGATAAAAATCATCCACCAAATCATTATGGATGATGAGATGATGAGTAGCTGCCAAACTGGCAGGAGACATTGACATCCCCTGTGTCTGTTAGTTGTGAACCTGACCAGGAGGCTTCACATTACTGCTGATCGCAATGGTGGGAACTCTAGCCATGACTCCAGAATGAATCATCATTAAATAGGTTAATTCTGGGTGGAGGTATATGCTTCATGCTACACATTAATTTGTGAAGTAAAACAAAACTCTTGTGGGTCCAACAGTTTAGAGTAACTTTGTAAAGTGAGTTTTATTGTGGAAGATACACATAACAAAGTTTAGCACGTTGAACATTCTCAAGTGTTCAGTTCTGTAGCACTAAGTCCACTTGCCATATTGTGTATCTTTCTTAAAATGTATGCATGCAACTAGATTTATGGAAGATGAAGAAAAATCCTGATACTACAGTTAGCCAAATATAAATAGTAGTTATTTCTAGCTCACTTTAATAAGCATGTGTCCACAATAATTTACATGATATAGTGTGAACTCATCTTCATCTTTATAGTTTTTATTATAATATTTAAAATAATAGGAGCCAGACAAGATGTTGCTGAACTAGAAATATCTTTTTCACATACATTCTGCCCATCAAAAAATATTCCTGACCTTCTGCACAGATCCACACGAGAAGCCCAAGGGAAGAGGCTGCTTGCCTCTTGAGACCATAGCATCTTTCCTCTCCACATACCCTCATCCAATTCTCAGTCTTCTCTTGCTCTTCTGGGAGACTCCAGCACATGCTCACCCAGTCAGACTAGGGCGCCTTCCAACCTTGACAGCCATGATAGCTGATACCAGCTAAATCAGGACTTGTCCCCTTCTGGTCCTAGTTGGTTTGGGTTGTTGATTTTTTTCTTTACCCACAACAATTCTTTTCTGTAACTTGGCAGAATTAGCACCACACAAGTGCTTATACAAGTCACCTTCTCTTTTTCTGGCTGTATCTGCAAGAGCTATCCTGTGTCTTCGAGAAGTTTGGGAGCAACCTGAGGGTGGCTTATCTTTCTTAACCCTAACTGAAGGCTTCCAACCTTGAACCTGTCCCTTTCTCATCTACACTCCTTAGAGCGTACAGGAGTTTAGGAATAGAGGACTCCACACCACCACACAACTTTCCCACAGAAAATATTGCAACAAAATGGTGGAATAGTTTTGCCACTGGGAAATAATAGACAATCATCGATATATCCACAGTATATTAGCCTCTAGTTTATAAGCTATAAAGTCAGTTTTATTTTTCTATAACTATGTTTAAATTTGTATATTTTATTAACATAATATACTAATAAATATATTGCTAATTCATTTATTATTAGTATTTATTGTTATATATTATCTGTTTGTTATATTTACTAATATACATGTATTAATGTGTTAATGTTTTACTATGTATTATTGACATATATTAATTGTACAAAGTAAAGGATTTTATTGTGACATTTTAATGATGCATATTACATTTTAATCACATTTACCTGCTCTATTACTCTCTTATCTCCCTCTCCATATGGTCTCCATATGGTCTCTTCCATATCCAGTGACTACCTCTTTATTTTCTAAACCTTCTTTATTGTTCTAAAGTCAACATAGGAGGGAAAAAATGTGACACTTTTGTTCATTGAGACCAGTTTATTTCGCTTACATTAAGATCTCCAATTTAATCTATTTTCCTAAAAGCAATATAATTTTACTCTTTATGACTAAATAAATCTACAAAGTATTCACAAAAAATAAAATTAAATTAAATTTAAAAAATAAAATAAAATAAAGCCCTGGGAGAAAAAATAAATAAATAAATCTACAAAGTGACTATATACCATGTTTCTTTGCCCATTTATCCATGGATGCACACTATGCTAATTTCATAACTTGGCTATTGTGAATAGTGCCACAATAAACTAGTATACAGGAGTCTCTATTGTAATATGACTTTTACATTGGGTGATAAATATATTTTTCATTAATTTTTTGAAAAGCAAAGTAATTCAGAACATTTTGTTATAAATCAGCTCTGCTCATAATGATACCTTTATCATACAACTTCTACCCAAATATACTTGTTAAAAATGAAATCTCTGGGGTGGGTGGTGAGGAGTGTGGGAGGTGGGGGAGGGAAAGAATAGTAGGACAACAACAGGAAGGTAAGAGGTAACAATGATTGACAAGTAATGTACTCATTGCCTTACTCATGTAACTGTAGCCCCTTTGTACAGCATCTTTACAATAAAATAAAAGATTGAAAAAATGAAAGCTCTGTTTGGAAACCCTTAAAACTGGAATTCCTTGAGTTATTTTTATTTAACATCTCCACCATCCTAGAAATTAATGTTCCTATTATTGAACCAAAGAAATGAATAATAATCTGGCAAAACCTATAATTTGTGTTATATGCACTGGCCAAAGTAGACCAACTTTTGTGACAAAAAAAATTCCTTCCAAAGTCTATAGTAGAAATCTAATTTTGATCTATTACACAATGCATTATGGGTTGGCAGAGACTACCATTCATTTTAGCTCATGACTCATAATCCACAGCAGTCACTCTTTCCTCTGCGTTCTACTATTGTTAGGACAGGGAAAGAAGTAGAAAATGAAGAACATTTTCACCTAACCCCCTGGACAATCTGAATTTCTAATGACATTGAATTATCTAGAAGTCAGTCACATGATCCTACCAACAACACATGTTGCATGCCCCAAGCTAAAAGAGAAGATGGCGTTGCTGAGCTCCCATAGCTCTGTCAGA